TTTGTGGTTCAAGTCTTTTGTTTCCCCTTTGATTTCACTAAGAGCCGAGCTGACAATAGGCCCCATGACTCAGATCACCGCCCCGCAGTTCACCGCCCGGAAGGGCGCCGCCGAGAAGCTGGTCGTTCTTACCGCGTACGACTACACGACGGCGCAGCTCATCGATGAGGCTGGCGTCGACGCCATTCTCATCGGCGACAGCCTCGGCATGGTCGTGCAGGGACGCGGCAGCACGCTGGGCGTCACGCTCGATCAGATGATCTACCACGCCGAGATGGTTGGCCGCGCGGTCACCAAGGCGCTGACGGTGGTCGACCTGCCGTTCCCGATCAACCACTACGACACGGGCGCCGCGATCGACGCGGCCGCGCGGATCCTCAAGGAGACGGGCTGCCAGAGCGTCAAGCTCGAAGGGGGGGAGGCCCAGGCCGACACGATCCACGCCCTCGTGACGGCGGGCATCCCCGTGATGGCCCACGTCGGCCTGCGGCCGCAGAGCGTCCACCAGCTCGGCGGCTACAAGGTGCAGCGCGACGAACAACGCCTGCTCGCCGACGCCCGCGCCGCCAGCGAAGCCGGCGCGTACGGCATGGTGATCGAGTGCGTGCCGAGCGAGATCGCCAAGTCGATCACCGCCGCGGTCCCGATCCCCACCATTGGCATCGGCGCCGGCCCCGACTGCGACGGCCAAGTCCTCGTGATCCACGACGTGCTCGGCATGACGACGGGTTACGTCCCACGTTTCGTGCGGAGCTACGCGAAAGTCGGCGAGACGATCAAGGAAGCGACCGCGGCGTTTGCGAAGGATGTGAGGGGCGGGGAGTTCCCGGGGCCGAGTGAGGCGTTTAAGTAGGGTTATGTTATGCGAGAATCGTTTGCAAAGCATCCCGGGAAGTAACCGACGATCAGCCACTTGAAGAAATGCGGGCCGCTCCATAGCGCGAAGCCTAGCACAGCGCCAGATATCGCGATCCCGGTAATGCCAGGAATGCCCAATTCAGAGGGCGAGTATCCTTCAAGAATCGGAGTCGAGATGACTTCGAGAAGGGGTGGCAGACGCTCGAATAGCCAAGAGTCGAAGGCGTTCATCGGGCTACCTCGAAATACTTGTACCAGGAAGGGATACAGTACCCCGCCTTCGGGGCCGTAGTTGGTAAAAGAGCTGGCCGCGTAACCAAGGTAGACGGGAATTGCGAAGAGCGGAGGCGCAATAGCTAGGTGGACGCACCACCGCCAGTAACGGGCGCCAACGATCCCGGGCCACAGAACAAAGGAGACCCACACGCTGAGGAAAGCCCAGTCAAACAATAGGGTTGCCCAATACCACTTTGAGGCACGCCAGCTTAACCAGAACCAATACTCGTTCGCGACGTTATACGCCAGTGAGTCGACATCGCGTCTGTAGGTCAAACGACGTTGTGCGTCGTTGATTTCGCGAATGAGTCGCGGGAGCGTTTTCGCTTCCTTCGAATCACGCCACCGCGCGTGTCCCACCAGAACATACGCCTTTAGATCTTCCGGCGTATTGGTCTCGATCCTTTGAACGACATCGGAAAGCAGGCTTTCAACGTCATCGTACGGAACTCTAAAGATTAACCGGTCGTGGATACGTTGGACCGTGTAGGCGCACCAGCGCTCATCTACATGGTAGGCGTCCGCTAAGTGTCGCTCGCCATCATTGTTGAAGTCGGCTCGACACAATGATTCCCAGAACTCATTTGGCTCTCCGTCGAAGACCGGCGCCATTTTATCCGAAAGGGCCCAGACCAAGCTCGCAATCGCGACTGTAAAGACCACTGATGTGGTCATCCAGAAGATTCGTAATGCCATTGACCATGATGCTTTGGCGCCCCGATAAGAAAGTACCGGGATACAGCGATTTGTGCATCAGATTGCCAAAGAAAAACGCCCCAACCACTCGCCGGCGTCGTCTCGATCTGGGGGACAGTGACGACGACGGACGAATGGCGGGGCTGGGCGTTTCGGGCGCGTCGCTCGCGCGGCTCCTTCTAGCGATAGTCCCCGCCGGCGTTGCGTCAAAGCTACGGGCGCCGTTTGCGTACCTCCCACACTGCAGCGGGGTGGCGATCCCTCCGCCAGCGTCGGTCGACTACGGCTTCGGCGACGGTGAGCGGTCGCACGCAGTCGGCGATTATCCTCGTGCTGCGGCGCCGGTTGCTTGGCGGCGTGGCGAGTTCGGCAATAATCGAGCGTTTCCTGTGCCGAATCCTCTGCGTCTACCTCGGGATATTGCCATGCGGGCTCAACTCTGCGCTCTGCTGTTCTCGGCCATAGCGCCGGCGTTCGCCTTTGCTCAAGTAGCCGACACCGAGAAGCTCCTGCCGCAGCGGCTCTTGCAGCTGGTGCATACGCCCGAGGTGCAGGCCGAGCTCAAGCTCACGCCCGGCAAGCAGGCGGCGCTTGAAAAACTGCTCACGAAGTTGGACGCCGTTTGGCTGCCGTCTCGGAACTTGTCGCCCGACGAGATGCGGACGACGGTCGCCGGGCTCGAAGAGCAGGTCCGACAATGGGCCGTCGCGAACCTTTCCAAGCAGCAAGCGCGCCGGCTCCATCAACTCGAGTGCCAGGCGCAGGGCGTGCGCGCGATGCTCCGCGAAGCGATGGGCAAGCGACTTGAGTTATCGCCCGAGCAAATCAACGGCTTTCTGACGCGGGCCCAAGCCACCGAAGCGGTCCAGGAAGAGTTGCGGCAGGCACAGCAGAGCGGGTCGCCGACCGAGGAAATACAGACGCGTCTCAAGGAAACCGTCGCGGCGGAACAAGCGGCGCTCGCCGAAGCGCTGACGCCTCAGCAACACGAGGCGATGTGGAAGCTTCTCGGCGAACCATTCGACACGGCAAAACTCACTCGCATCTATCCGCTTGCGCCGGAGTTCGCGCGCGTAGACGAGTGGATCAACTCGAAGCCGCTGACGCTCAAGTCGCTCCGTGGAAAGGTGGTGCTGGTCCACTTCTACGCGTTCCAGTGCCACAACTGCCATGCGAATTTCGACATCTACAAGCGTTGGCACGACGAATTGGCGGAGAAGGGCGTGGTGCTGATTGGCATCCAAACGCCGGAGACTTCGAGCGAACGCGACCCCAAGCTGGTGAAGGCGGCGGCCGCCGAACGTGGACTCGAGTTCCCGATCCTCGTGGACCTGGAGAGCAAGAACTGGGCGGCGTGGGGCAACACGATGTGGCCGACCGTGTATGTCGTCGACAAGAACGGTTACATCCGCTCGTGGTGGATGGGCGAGCTGAACTGGCAAGGCGCGACGGGGGACAAGTCGATCGAAGAGATGGTCGAGGTGGCGCTGGCGGAGGCGGGGCCTGAAGAGAAGTCGTAGCGCGCTTGTCCCCCTCCCTAAAAGCGAGGGGGGATGTGACGAGACACCGACACGGCGAATGGGACCTCTTTTACAGGGCCATCCAATAACGAAGCGGGCGGGAACGACATCGTTCCCGCCCGCTTCGGTTGTAAATCCAAGTTGCATCGACTCACGCCGTCTGCCCGGCGTGCTTGCCCTCGGCGATCTCTTCGACGAGCTTCGCGCAGAAGGCGTTGAGGTCGGCGGGCGTGCGGCTGGTGACGAGGCCCTCGTCGCAGACGCACTCTTCATCGACCCAGTTCGCGCCGGCGTTGATGAGGTCAGTCCTGACGCTTGGGTAGGAAGTCACCTTGCGGCCTTCGACCACGTCGGCCTCGACGAGCAGCCACGGCCCGTGGCAGATCGCGGCGACCGGCTTGTGCTGCTTGAAGAACTCGGTGACGAAACGCACGGCGTCGGCGTCTTGGCGCAGTGTGTCGGGGTTCTTGAGACCGCCGGGCAAGATCAAGGCGTCGAACTCGTCGGCGCTCGATTCGCTAACGATGCGATCGACGGGGATCTTGTCGCCGAGTTGATCGTGATGCTTGCCTTGGATCTCGCCCATCTCGAGCGAGACGACGAAGGCTTCACCGCCCGAGTCGATGACGGCGTCGCGGGGTTGGGTAAGCTCGTCCTGCTCGAAGCCGTCGGTGGCGAGCACCGCGACCTTCTTGCCTTTGAGTTGATCGGCGTCGTACTTGTTCATTGCTATCGCTCGGTTGTTAGTGTTGTCGTTTGTTTATTGATCGCCCGCTCGTGGTTAACCGTGCTCGACGTTGACCGTCGCGGGCTTCAGCTTCTCCATCGGCTGACCACAGCAGGTGAAGGTCGGCTCACCGGTTTCGCAGTGGCAGGGCGTTTTGATTTCGATCTGCATCTTGCAATGGCTGCACTGGTAAGCGTCGCCAACGAGGGGCTTGGACATGGTCGCACTCCTGACGAGGGGTGAACGCCGCCGTGGGTCCGCATTCGCTGGACGCGGTAGCCGGGCGGCATCGCTTGCAACACTGCAGGTGCAATCGCCATGCCTACGACGAGACGACGACTGGCCGTGCGCCAGCTGGGGTGACGCCGCTGCTTCCGCTGACAGTCTGGGCGCAACGCGACCATTGAGGCCGTGGGCCAATCAATACTCAGATTGAGCAAAGTAGTGGCTAAAACGATTTCTGCCGGCTCGAGCGATCGCTTATAATGCTCGCATTGTGGGGAGTTGGTTCGGTTTAGGAGGGGGCGGTGGACGAGATCGAGCAAAGCGTTGACGCGGCCCGGCAGCGGTTGGTGCTCCGGCAATGGGCGGGGCGTCTCGCGCTCTGCCTGACGATCGCGTTCGGTGTCGCTTTCGTGGCGATTCTGGCGCCCAAGGTGGTCGTACTGCCGAACCTGCCCGCGAGTTGGGCCACGCTCTGGCTTGCCGGT